CCGTATTTCACTAGCTAAGATTTTCATACAAGGTAGAAAGAAGTGAGATAAAATATATTTGCTTTGTAGCTGATCTTAGAAGGAAAGTGTGCAGTTTCCCACAATTATGATATTAGCTGTAGGCTTTTTGTAGATGTTCTTTATCAAGCTGAGGAAGTTATCCTTTATTCATAAGACATACATTTTTTATATTCTTTCAAACTTCTATTTTCCCTCAAGTCCTGATAATTTTGTGGTATCTCCTGACTATGCTCATGGCTGATCATTTCCTTTTGTACTTTATAATTTTGATAATAAGTGTTTTGTTTATTTTCTATGTAAAATTTCCTACTATCCTCTGCTCAAAAAGATGCACCTGCCTAGAAATGGCAAACTTCAGTATGCCAATCACTATTCACTTAAATTCATTTAGATTCCCTAAGTAAAATTTGAAAGCAAGTAACTAGTTCATTCTTTCTTATTCTTTTTAAATATTCTTTTATCATTTCATGCACCCAGGAGACAAAGTTAGAAGGCCAGAAAGTTTCTTAATCAACTTTTTGGCTAGTTATATAATCTTGACAAGGTTATTTCATTCTGGAATTCACTAATGCTTCCATTTTTTTAATGTAAAAATTATTGCTGGGCATGGTGGCTCACACCTGTAATCCCAGCATTTTGGGAGGCTGAGACAGGAGGATCACAAGGTCAGGAGTTTGAGACCAGTCTGGCCAACATGGTGAAACGCTGTCTCTACTAAAAATACAAAAATTAGCCAGCCATGGTGGCAGGCTCCTGTAATCCCAGATACTCAGGAGGCTGAGGCAGGAGAATCACTTGACCCGGGAGTTGGAGGTTGCAGTGAGCCAAGATCGTGCCAGTGCATTCCAGCCTGTGCAACAAGAGCAACACTGTGTTCAAAAAAAAAAAATTATTATGACATACACTAATTTTTACTCAAGGGGGTTTAGAGACAGCTCAATACCCTTATATTTTCAAGTCTGTGAACTCCTTGAATGCTGTTACACAGACTAGGGTGCTCCCCGATCCCTACCTTCTAATGTTCATGACTTATGTAATCCCTGCTTCTTCAGTGTGGGTGGGCCTGTGACATTTTTCTAACAAACAGAACATGGTATAGTTGATAGGATGCTATTCCCATCTTAATGTTACATTATATGGCAAAGGTGATGGGAAGTCACTTAAGAGGTTACGCTATATGGCAAAGGCAATTATATTGTACTATTTAAGACTCTGTCTTGTTTGCAGCCTCTCCCTTTTTCCTCTTCACTATCTACTTTGAAGAAGCAAGCTGCTATAAATTATATGACCACCAGGAAATGATTCTGACAACAACCTGAAGGAGCTTAAAGGTAAATCCTTCTCCAATCAAGCCTCCAGGTAAGAACTCAACCCTGGGCAACAACTTAATTGCAGCTTTGTGAGATCCTGAGCAGATTTAGCTAACCTGTGCTCAGACTCCTGACCCACAGAAACTTTAAGATAATAAATATATTTTAGGCTTCTAAGTTTGTGGTGATTTTTTTTTTTTTTTGAGACGGAGTTTCACTCTTGTTACCCAGGCTGCAGTGCAGTGGTGCGATCTCAGATCACTGCAACCTCCGCCTCCTGTGTTCAAGAGATTATCCTGCCTCCAGAGTAGCTGGGATTACAGGCATGCGCCACTGTGCCCGGCTAGTTTTTGTATTTTTAGTAGAGACGGGGTTTCCCCATATTGGTCAGACTACTCTGAAACTCCTGACCTCAGGTGATCCACCCGCCTCAGCCTCCCAAAGTGCTGGGATGACAGGCGTGAGCCACCACGCCCGGCAGTAATCTGTTAAATAGCAATAAAAAAGCTAATAATGCAAAATCTCAATTAAGTAAGTAGTGTCTTTTAAGGTCCTCAAAGAAGTAAACGTCAAGAAGTCACCCAGGTTTTTTTAAAACAATTACTTCTTTTATGATAGAGAGAAATGCAGGGAGAGAGACAGAAAGAGAGAGAGAGAAAGTTCTGACGCTGAAAAATAGCAGTCTTTATTTCATAAAGGCATCAAATTTTGATTTTATAGCCCATAGGTATGTAAGGAAATGGATATAAAATAACAATACTTTTATGATCTGAAGGGCTGAATATAGTTATGTATTACTTACTATTTTTAGTACATGTACTTTCAAAAATGCCTGTACTTTGTCATCAATACACACAAACTATATCCAATTTTGATATCTTCAGTACAAACAGGGATTTTAAATGCTATCTGTATCATGCACTTAAGATACAAAATTATCATAAAGTAGTAAGTCATAAATAAAAGTTCACTTCTAAAAATATATTCCTAATCTGTTTGTTATGGTGGTGTTCTTCAGCCCCATGATAAAGTAATTCCCAATCCACTTGATTCAAATTTATCAAATGCTCTTCCAGAAAAATGCATTTTCATAACGGGTTGTCAATTAACGTAGTTCACCAGTATTACATGTTTGACAACTTTCAGGTTAAAAAAACACTTTTCAATTTTTTTCCCAGTAAATTATATCAGAGTGAGTCACTATGCACCAGAAGTTTCTTCTAAAGCCCCACTGAGGTCATAAATTTGTCTGAAAAGCTATACTGTGAGAAATTTACCCACATTTCCACTAACCAAAAGCTAGTTTTCTCACAGCTTGTGAACATATAAAACATGACATACCCTTCCTTCCTGTATTTTGGTTAACCAGTATTTTTTCTTTATCTCAGAACATACCTCAACTCCAATTCTTACCGCGAACTAAAGTGATCCTTGCTCCATCCCTTCCTTGCCCCTTTTTTTGTGTTTGAGGTCTACTATCATACAGCAGTATTACACTTCTGTATTAAAGTTACAAGAAAAGCAAATGATCTATGGTCTGCTTTCCCATATGACCTATGATAGTTTTCAAAGCATTTTTTTCACCTTGTAGAAGATTTCAAAGTCATCTTTTCTCAAATAAATGTGGTATTTCCTTCCCTGGACTTTGTGAAATAGGATAACAAGAAATGCTGAATTCATATAAGTAGAACTTTAACAGGATGATTCTAGACTATGATGAGAAATAAGCAATATCAGTTGAATCATAACTGGTTTGCAAACTCTTGTTGAAAATAAATGCATTGCTAATCGTGTAGTTATTAAAGAACCTATATCTGAAAACTTTTGTATGAGGGACAAGAGAAATGTTTGTTTAGCTATTTAACCAAAAGAAATACACTTATCTATGCAGTATCTACACTTGTACATTTTAAGTATTCCTATTGGGTGGAATAAAAAGTACTGTGATGATCACTAAACAGAACCAAAAGAGTAAAGGATATCTAAAATAGACTAGAGCAAGGAAGAACTGACTTCCAACTTCAGCCCTGCCACTGACTAGCTTTGTGACCCCGAGAACAATTCCAGATTCCTGCCTTCTTATCTGCATGCCTAACACGTACTATATAGTAATTGTGAGGATCACACATAAAGTGTCTCTAGCCAACTAGGCATTCAGTAAATGGTAGACAGGATTGCTGTTGTTTCTGTGAAAGGTGTCTCACTCTGCCTTTCATATAAATGACTCTCATGCAGAACCCACTGGATGTTTCTCAGTTCAAGAGTTAATAGAAGGCAGGTCCCAAATATAAATCTTATTATACTTCATCATTTATTTCTTCTTCTACATGCTTCCTTACCCTACCCATTTTTTCTCAGAATAACTAATTCCTTCAACAGTTTACTTAAATTTAGCAGTTCTATTTAAAGTGTTTCTATTTCTCTCTCTCTCTCTCTCTCTCTCTCTCTCTCACACACACACACACACACACACAAAGAAAGAAAGAACTTAAAATCAGTAGACTATTACATAGTCCATATTGTCTACTCTAGGATATAGGTAATGAACAGCTGTGCCACCAGAACACATAATTCATAGACTTTAATGGATATTAAATAAAACATAGAGTAATTAAAAGGCTAGAAGTAATGTGATACTAACATAACCAAGAGGCAAAAGGCTGCTGAGGTGATAGCTATTTAGAATATATGATATAAAGTGAGAAGTAACGTGAAAAAATCTGCAGGAGGAAAAATCTTTTCCCAACTCTCACATTTTGGATGTGAGACATTTGTAAAAAAAAAAAAAATTATGAAGCTGTAGGATTCAGAAAGTTCTAGACTTGCCATTAACATTCAGCAGAACAAAAGTTGAATGGAGCAAAAAGCATGACCTCCCCGCCCATTTTGTTTAGACTGACTATAAAAAAGGCTTTATTAAGATCTTTGTCAGAACCCATCTCAGACCACATCTTTCCATGGTTCTCGTGAACCTTATCCCTCCTATTGAACGTTTTTTTTTTTGTTTTGTTTTGTTTTTTCTTTTGAGACGGAGTCTTATCTGTCACCCAGGCTAGAGTGCAGTGGTGTGATGCACAATCTTGGCTCACTGCAACCTCCACCTCCATGGTTCAAGCAATTCTCCTGCCTCAGCCTCCTGCGTAGCTGGGATTACAGGCATGCGCCACCACACCCGGCTAATTTTTGTATTTTTAGTAGAGATTCGGTTTCACCATGTTGGTCAAGCTGGTCTTGAACTCCTGACCTTGTGATCTGCCTACCTTGGCCTCCCAAAGTGCTGGGATTACAGGTATGAGCTACCACACCCGGCTGACCCCTCCTATTAAGTCTTATACTTTCCATTTTATTGTCACGGTAGACGTGAGAAAGGGCTGATGGTCATCTTTGTTTACAAGCCATCACAGGTTTGAACAAATTCAAAATCGCCTATTATTAAGCCTCCTCAGGAGCTACTAGGCATAAACAAACCTAAGATTTTATAACCCACCAATTATCCTATGGAAGATAGTCCAGATTATTATATTCTGCTACACCTTTATTCATGCTTGACTCCAAAATCTTGTCAATTTTTCACAAGGATAATCTAGAAAATAAATATTAGTTTTGCTTTCACAGACAGCACTGAAATGAGTAGGCACTTGCAGCTTTGTTATATTACTTAACTTATTATTTAGTTTCCCTGTCTGCTTAGAACTTGTGATGTTTGGGTTGAAAAAAATGATTTAAGAAGCAAAAACTATGACACAACAATTTAAATAAAGGTCACTATTGCGGTGAAATGGGATGTCAGTTTTGCAATTCATCTGCACTTTCCCACGAAGCTGAGATCTGGGTGAGTCTAGAGATATTTGTGAAATAAGCTAATTTGAAAGGACACCACAATCTGTCAAAAGCGACTTTCTTCCTCTTCCACAGCACGATGAAGGCCAGGGATAAATTTCAAGAGTTGCTTTCGGACACTTCCTTTTCTGCTCTTTCGGGGCAGGGTCCCAAACATGCTTGAGAAGTTGCCCTCCCACAAGGGAGACATGGATCCGCTGCTGGTGTTACTGATGCTTCGGCTCTTCCTTGAAGATGACCTCCTCAGAAAATCATCCCCCTCCTTGGGGATAAAGCACTCATCATCTGTGCTCGTCTGCCGACTGAAGGCACCCCTGCTGCAGTCCTCAGACACACACATCTGGTAGCCGTCTTCACTGTCCATCGTCATGGAGCTTAGCCAGCTCTTACAGCTGCTCTCACTGGATAATCGATTCCGGTCCACAAAGGCTGGTCCTGGCCCCGGCAGGGGTCCAAACAAAGATGATTCATCCAAGTCCATGCTTTCCAAACTTGGGCAGTTAGCTGCATCACCTAGAGCAGAGAGAAGAGTCTACTGTGAAATGGATCTGTTCATCACTCCTCACAAATAAATACACTACATCGAAACTTCTCTTTGAATGACACAAGAAAGAGTAAGAGTGAAAAATACTTCTCACTGAGCTTTGGCTTGCATGAATAAACGACTGCTTATGAGGCCATTTGGTAAACCTTATAGTAGGGGTTCCCGAACTGTTGTTCAAAAATTATAATATTAGAGTGAATTTAAACAAGATGTTTCATATGAGAACAGTTCAACCCAACTGACAGTCTACCAGTGTCACATCTGAATCTCCAAAATGATCATTTTGTACATTTAAATAACCCTGAAACCTTTTTAAAATACTCAAATAAATGGGGTTCCGTACAATAAATATTAGTTTTGGGGAAATGCTATCAGGATTTTCTCCATTTAGTTTCTCTGATTCTTAGGTACTTTTTCTTTCTTTCTTTTTTTAGATGGAATCTCTCTCTGTCACCAGGCTGGAGTGCAGTGGCGTGATCTCGGCTCACTGCAATCTCCATCTCCCAGGTTGAAGCGATTCTCCTGCTTCAGCCTCCCAAGTAGCTGGGACTACAGGCATGCACCACCACACTCAGCTAATTTTTGTATTTTTAGTAGAGACAGGGTTTCACCATGTTGGCCAGGATGGTCTTGATCTCTCAACCTCCTGATCCACCCGCCTCGGCCTCCCAAAGTGCTGGGATTATAGGCATGAGCTGCCGTGTCCGGCCAGTATTGTCTTTTAAAAATAATTCTAAAATTATCATAAAATTATTTGAAGTATATAGAAAACAGTTATGAAACAGGTAATTCAAAAGTGTTTCTTAGAGAAAGGATTTGTGAAATCAAATGTATCTCCCAACCTCAATATTCCAAGTTTTGTTTTGGAATACCTAAATTCTCTGGAATGATACTGTACCCAGAAACCATCCCTGTCCTCAAGTAAGTAATAACTTATTTGAAGAAATTGAATTGTATCTGCTTGGCTGATTTTTTTTCCATTGATCCTTCATAACCTACATCTGGCTCTTCAAACTCAAATGTTGATCACATACAACACCCTGTCCATACTGCCCTCCCTGCTTCCACACTATCTGAGTTGGTTGGTATCTTGCTAAAAAGAGAGAGAGAGAGAGAGAACTTGTAATATCAGCCTTGGAAAAATATAATTAGTAAGTTACTCTGCTTCAGAAGAATGGTTTTATTTTGTGCTAGTTATCTTTACTGCTGCTCTCGTTTGTCCTTGGTTGATAATATAAAAAGAAATTTTTTTCACATTATTCGCAAGGTTGAGTACAGCCAGCCCTACAGTGACTAGTCGTAATGCTTTCCTTTTTGCTAATATGACCTACTTCATTTCACCTTGCAATGAGTGATCAATTTCTTTTGATTGGAGAGCAATTGCCTTACAGAATCACATGCCGTGGATGTTTACTATACATCTAGAAAAAGCAGAACCCCCTCAATCACTCAAAAAATGTGTACAACAACGACTGTATGAGGATCCTGATCTAACAATGTTGTATATACAAGGCTGTTCCTGCGGAACTCCAGGAATTTCTATATTCACTGGGCCATTCAGGATGCTCCAGAAGTGAAAATGAGGCTAAAAGGCCCTCATGTCTAAAGAAAGCAAGGAGGTGGCTGAATTTACAGGGCCATTAAGAAGTTTTTGTATTAAATATTTCTGCCTCTCTAACAAACTTCACTCCCCAAAAAAATCCATTATGAATTTTTAAAAAAATATTAAATGAAGAAGTAACTTGTACATAAGTTTCAAACACTTCAATTAAAAAAATAAATATACAGATCTTCATCCCAAAACTCTAAGCCATAGATTAGTGACTAGTTAAGGATTTTTATATTTTTCAGTAAACAAATTATCACTTTTAGCACATATTCTGGGTTAGAAACGTAAGCTTGGTGCTATCTAAAGAAGAGATAACCTATATTTCATACCCACATAGTGGTTTCAGTGAATTATTTGTACATAAAAGTTCATTCCTTTGTTTACATCTGTCCCATAGCAAATAGCAAATTAACACATTTTAAACTCAACCCTTCCCTTAAAAATGAACTCAGTGGCAAGAACTATGCATTTACTCTTGCAATAATCTTACACATTTCTGTCTTCATCTTTGGGGCAATGAAAAAGAATCTCTGTGCATAAATGTAATTTATGCAATTGAAACAGAAGACAGGAGCTCTACCCAGTAAGTGTGCAACCATTCTAGCTTTAATAGCTTCTAAAAACTATTCAGCCCCTGAGCCGTGATTGTTTTCAGAAACATAATTCATTCACTGAAGTAGAAGGAAAGTCAGGCAATCTTCCCCAATGATCTAAAATCTCCAGATGCCTATTTTCAAGCATGTTCATCCATGTGCATATGCGTCATGTATGTGGAATAGTGGATCTGACTTCACTTATCCCTCCTCCGAATACAGTCACTCCAAAGCTTACACCAAAGAAACACAGATTCGTTTCTTTGACCAGCACTAGACTAATTTTTCTTGGAATGATGATAATCTTAAAACAACTTAGAGGCAGAAATACTGAAAGAAGTAATGTTACTATGGTTTCTCAACAGGAAATTGCATTTACCATGAAGCAGACGATGTTCCTGTAACTGCAGAGATCTGTACTCCACCCATTTTTGTTTCAAGGTTTGCTGTGAGATTAAAAAAAAAAAATGTTATAATGATTAGGGAACCCCAGTGAAGCTAGCAATTTAATTCTAGGTGTTGAGATTTGTCATTAATTTTTTTTTTTTTTTTTTTTGAAATGGAGTCTCACTCTGTCGCCCAGGCTGGAGTACAGTGTGAGATCTCGGCTCACTACATCTTCTGCCTTCTGGTTTCAAGTGATTCTCCTGCCTCAGCCTCCTGAGTAGCTGGGATTACAGGCACCTGCCACTAAGCCTTTTACATTTTTAGTAGAGATGTGGTTGCACCATGTTGGCCAGGCTGGTCTCAAACTCCTGAAATCATGATCCACACACCTCAGCCTCCCAACATGCTGGTGAAATAAGAGCCACTGCACCTGGCCTGTCATTAAGTTTCTTCACATTTTTTTTCTAGTACTCCCAATCCATTCATCCATTTAAAATATTTTTGCTCTATAATAGGAGAATATTGGGAATACTATTCTCTCAAGAAATAATTTAGTTTTCTTTAAAAAAAAAACAACAAGAAAAACAATACAATATATTTTTTTATTTTAAAAAATTATTTAAAAGATTATTTGGGTTTGTGTCCCAGCTACTCCAGGAGGCTGAAGTGGGAGGATTGCTTGAGCCCAGGAGTTCTGGGCTGTAGTGTGCTATGCTGATCAGGTGTCCGCACTAAGTTCGGCATCAATATGGTGACTTCCCAAGACTGGGGGACCACCAGGTTGCCTAAGGAGGGGTGAACCGGCCCAGGTTGGAAACGGAGCAGTTCAAAATTCCCGTGCTGATCAGCAGTGGGATCGCGCCTGTGAATAGCCACTGCACTCCAGCCTGGGCAACATAGTGAGACCCTGTCTCTTAAAAAAATAATAATAATAAAATAAAAAGAAAAGGCAAGGATTTACCCGCTAGGATTTCCACATCTGTAGGATGAAGACAACAATAGAGCCTAAACCCTGGAAATGTTATGAGGATTGGATGAGTGAAGAGATGTAAAATGTTTAGAACATTGACTAGAACTTAGTAAATGCTCTACAAATATCATCAACATACAAGCCTGAGGCCCTAACACAGCCTTTTCTGTCAGCCAGCTATTTATTTTCCACACCAAAAAGGAGAACAGAACTATCTGAAATGCTTCCTTAGTGGGCTAAACTTAGAACACTGCTAAGCACCCTGACTTCTTAACTGCTTCCGTTCTTGGTTGCCCCAGCACATGAGAGCTGAGGCCCATAGTGGGAATTAAGTAGCTGCCACATGAGGCAAGACAGTACGCAAGTCTTGACCTTTCCCACAGAGGGGACTGAGGCAATGGCAATCTAAAAACTACGCAGAAGGCATCTGAAAAGACTCAGCCATAGGCTCACTGTCTCCCATTCTTCATCCTCTACTCTTCCCCTTCCTTTGCCAATTCAGGTCCCTATACCAAGTCCAGCAAGTGGGCACAGCTCAGGTTTGCCTGTGGACTCTTATGACAAAGGAAAGACAGCCTAGTTGAAACAAGCACTCCTTCACACAAAGCAATCTCCAAGGAGTAGATGAAGGCTAAAAAAAAAAAGAGGAAAAAAACATATATTTGGACAAGGACTAAGGAAAAGAAAATAATAAAATTGCAAGAACATCATTAAATGCTTAAGGGGAACATGACTTATTCCTCAGTCTTCAAAGGTTGAACAATAACTGGGCATAACTTTCCAAACCCTGATACTAGTAACATTTCACAGCAATCCCTTATGGTTGCCAATATAAAACGCAAGCAATAAATTAATCAAATGCTTGACTCAGTCAACTTCTTGTTTTTTCTGTACCACAGTATAGTCTAGAATAGCTATAATACTGCTTTCAGGTCTGGGGGCAGTGGCTTACACCTGTAATCTCAGCACTTTAGGAGGTTGAAGCAGGAGGACTGGTTGAGACCAGGAGTTTGAAACAAGCCCAGGCAACATAGTGAGACCCTATCTCTACAAAAAAAAAACAAAATATATATATATATATATATATATATATATTTTTTTTTTTTAATTAGCTGGGTATATGGTGCACACCAGTTCTCACGAGGCTGAGGTAGGAGGATCGCTTAAGTCCAGGGGGAGTATAAGGCTAGCAAGTATGTGGCATACATACCAACCCTTTCATCTTCCTTAAAGAGATTTATTTCCTACAAGAGACTAGAGTCCAGTGGAGGAGCACAGGGATAGGTCCACAGTCAGAACTAGAGACAGAAAGAAGAGGAAACTATATTTCTGTACTTACTATCCAAAAATACAAAGTCAGCACTGGCCATTTAGTCTTTTTTTTTTTTAAATAAAGATTTTGCAATATCTGATTTGTTGATTTGGTCCAGTCATTTCAGTAATGTCGTCACTTAAACCAAGAAAATACCAGTGTGAAGAGCAGATGTGTCACAGTGACTAAGGGTTTTTTATCTGTAACCAAGCTTCCCTATTTTCCTATGTGTCTGTTTCTGCCTGTGTTATTGACATCAGAATTGTATATCTGGACATATCTGAACTCTCATCACTAGGGGAGAATTACAGCACAAATGAGATCTAACCATACTGGGTAGCATCACCTCACTGTGCCCAGTTCAGTGCCAGGTACATAGCAGCTGCTCGGTAAATAATGGTTGAACGAATACGTGAAAAAAATGGCTTCCTAAATCAACTCTCAGCTATCACACAGTGGTTCCGAAGAAGTTTCCAATGCTTTCAATCTATAGAAGACACACAGCTGAACATTTCCATGGCACTTTAATACTTGAATTGTGCTTTCACTGATAACATGATATTTAATTTTCATAACTTCTCTAAAAAGTTACAGATTCGAAAATGAAGATTCAGTGTAGCCAAATATTCCCTAAGCACTACAAACCCAGTAAATAGCAGAAGTAGATTACAAACTAGCTCTCCCAGCTAGCCCACTGGATGTGTTGCTTTCATGTTAAACATTTGCATCATAGGTCAGAAGAATGGGAATCCCTGAAAATGTGGCTCAGAAAGGACGACTGTTTCTAAAGAAGAGCTGGTGGCCCCATGAAGAGTCTCTGAGGGACAGAATGCTCACTTACAAAGGATGCACAAAGTAAATGTCATTGTGTGGAGGGGAAACCAGGCTGACTGTGGCTATGGATCAAGCTGAAACATTTCTGGCTCAAGAGATAAATAGAATCTCATAATTTCAAGATTAGAAATACGACAGACATTTCTAATGCAAGATGGAAAGCAGAATGAACTTTAAAGTCTTCTGGATATGGAGAAGCAGAAAGAAATTCTATGGCAATATACGGTATAAATGCACCTATCTGAAACCAAGGTCTGAGCCAGGTTTTCTGCTTAAGGAAAGAATGTTGGCTGAATCTCCATCGCTGGGAAAGGAGGCTGAGAAACGCTGCTGCTGCTGGCTATGGCTTATGTACAGCTTATACGTAGAGAGGCAGGAGTACCTAAGCACAGCCTCATGACTTGAGCCAAACAGCTCACTGAGTCCCCAGGGAAGGCATCTAAGCCCCTAGACCTGGCTCTGGATTGGTAGCCTTGAAGTGCTGAGTGGGGACAAGCATCCAATTATAACATTGTGCTAAAGGGAGAAGCTATATGACATGCAAGGGAAGTAGGCAATCTAAATCCCCAAACACTCACAGATGTTTAATGATAAAAAAGATAATAAAATTGATAATTGGTACATGGATTCTTTCTAAGCAAAATGAAAATAAAAAGTGTCAAAAAAAGACTTTAAAATAAAAATGTTTGTAATCCTCTGAGAGATAAATAAGATCAATGTTTATAAGAACAAGAAATTTGAAATGAAAAAATGAAACAAGAATCGATACACATGAAAAAGAACTACAAGATAATAACAAACTAATTTTTTTTTTTCCTTTTGTCCACTTTACTTCCACTCACTATTAGTCAATGTGGGTACAGATAAGAATCACAGTTTTCTGGCAGGACAGCCATTTCTCAGTAATAAACAACACACTTACAAAAAGTATAAATCTTTCATAAAAAGGTAATGGATTTTAAGAAAACAAGCATATGCATCAGTAATGCTTGGGGTAAAACAGATTCATTTTGTTGATTTCTATTGAGCTTTCATAAGATTTGATCAAAAGCTAGCAAATATACAGTAGAAAAGAAATGCTATTCTAAATAAGAATATTGTGAAGTTAGAAAAGAAATGCTATTCTAAATAAGAATATTGTGAAGTTATTTTGTCTATATAAATAAAAATATGACCTCACACCAATAGTCTCATCTATAGCTATACAACATCAAATGCTATTTTTATTTAAAATTTTATTTCATGTAAGTATTCAATTTATAACAAACTAATTTTTATAACTTAATACAAAGAACACATTCTATACAGACAGCTAACAAGAACATTTCTGAAGATGTTACTGAGGAATTCAGAAAGAATATAACACAAAAAGAAAATGAGATAAAAATATGAAACAGTCATTAGGAATCATGAAAGATAAATCAAGAAACTATGTCTAATAGGAATTCCAGAAGATAATACAGTAGTGGTATAGAAGATTGAGTTGACAGTTTTCCAAAACTAAAGAAGGTCTTTAAACAGAAAGAACACTGTAAGTTCTACGTAGCATAAAGTTAGAAATTAATCCAGAATTAATTACATTGTAGTAAAACTGTAGAATAAAGACAAAAGAATATCTTAAAGCAACCAGAAAAAGGATTAAATATTGCCACAAATACTGGTCTTTTAAAACACCCAAAACTTGAAAATCCTATGGAGAAAAGTATCAAGAAAAAAAAAGAAGGCATAAAAAGTGGTATAAGATGCAAGAAAAAATATGGAGGCACACAAACAATTTTTGACAAAAATTTAAAATATTAGAATAATATTTTACTGTCAACTCAGTTAATAAATTTAAAAACTTTGTTAACAAAAACGTAAGTCACTAAAACTGGCTTTAAAAAAAAAAAAAACAGAGATCCTGAGTAGCCTCACAACTAATAAAGAAATTGAAACAGTATGTTAACAGCATTCCCATCAAAAAAGAACCCTGAAATGAAATGATTCAGGTATTATAAAAATTCTACCAGAAAACAAGAAGAGGAAAACAGCCCCCAGGTCTAGTAAACTTGATTCCAAAACTTAAAAAGATAATCTATGGAAAGAAACCTGTAGACCAGTCTACCTGAAAAACAAAGCTATCTTTTAAAATCCTAAAGAAAATACTCACAGATCAAGCCTGTAATTATTACAAACTATAAATTTCAAGGCTAAGCCAGGTTGAGCTTAGCCTAGAAATGAAATGGTAGCCTTGTATTAGAATATGTTTAAATGTCATTCACATATTAACAGAATTTTTTCAAATGAATAAAGAAGACCAGCTTAACAGATGCAGATAAAAGTATTTGACAAAATTTAATACACAAGCACTGTAAACTACAAGCAAACTTCATATAGAATGGAGTCTCCTTAACCTGAAAGATAGCTCATTCCTAATGGAAAAGAAATTAGGAAAAATTCCCTTTAAAATCAGGTATGAAACAAGGATACCTACAACTATAGTTTCTATTCATTGTGGTATGGTAGCTCCTAAGCTGTGAAGTAAAGTAAGAAAAAGAAGCAAAACTCATTCATAACAGATAGTTACTATCTCTACAGTAAACCCAAAATAATCTTCAGATAATTTATTAGAGATATTAGATATTGTTTCCTCAAATTTATATATATATATATATATATATATATATATATATATATATATATATAAAGTGCTATCAGAGCTGTGAGTGTTGGCTCAGGCCTGTAATCCCAACAATTCAGGAGGCTGAGACACGAGGATTGCTTGAACCCAGGAGTTTGAGGCTATAGTGAGCTATAATCACATTGCTGCACTCTAGCAAGGGCAACAGAGCAAGACTCTGTCTCCAAAAATAGATAAATAAAATTTGATATCAATCAAAACACCAATATTTATTTACATATAATTTATTTTTATAATTTATATAGACGATCTAAGGACCAAGAATAACTATGCCCAATGTGATAACAAGATTTATTATAGGCAATCTGGGATGAACAAATTGACCAATGGATCATATTAGAAAGCCTATAAGCAAATCCATGCATATGTGGAACTTGCTTAAAAATAGAGGTTTTGGCCGGGGACGGTGGCTCACATCTGTAATCCCAGCACTTTGGGAGGCCGAGGCAGGCGGATCATGAGGTCAGGAGATCGAGACCATCCTGGCCATGGTGAAATCCTGTCTCTACTAAAATACAAAAAAAAAAAAAAAAAAGTTAGCCAGGAGTGGTGGCACACGCCTGTAGTCCCAGATACTCAGGAGGCTGAGGCAGGGAAATCGCTTGAATCCAAGAGACGGAGATTGCAGTGAGCCAAGATTGTGCCACTGTACTCCAGGCTGTTGAAAGAAAAAGACTCTGTCACACACACACAAAAAAAGAATAGAGGTTTTATTGCAAGTCAGTTGAAGGGTAAAAAGGGGACTACAAAATAAATGGTACCAGAAGAACTGGTTATTCAGTTGGAAAAAAATTAAATTGGAATTTTCACATAAAAAAATTGGAATTTTTCCCATACCTCATAATATACACAAAAGTTAATTCTGGATGAATTAAGGACTTACATGTGAAAAGGAAAAATGTTAAAACCTTTAGCAGAAAATATAGATTACCTGCCAAAAACAATGAGAAGCTCTCATCAACAAAAATACGAAAGGAGCAATAAATTCAAAGTGCTAAGGGAACTAAACACCTACTTAGAATAAATTACCCATCAAAACTCTCTTCCAATAGTAGCAGTGATATAAAAACATTTTTCAACAAAAATCTACTTACCACCACGGAAGGAAGTACTACAGCAAGAAGGAAAGTAAACCCAGAGGTAAAGAGTGGAATGCAACAAACAGCAGCAGGCATATCAAAAGGAACAAGTTGGTGTATTCGTTCACTACCATCTATTCAGAAGAAAAATCTGTATTTTGTACTTTTAGAAAATTGATAAAAATTCTCTAAAGTAAGTATAGTAAGGAATGTAGGGTCTTAAATGGGCATTTAAAGCATTTTATGGTTCTCATGATGTTCTGGAAGAGGATGGAGATACTGAAAATTCATACATTGGTAAGTATGTATATTGAAACAAGGCAAAAATATGCAAAGAATAGAAATTGCTTAAAGGCATGAAATAATGTTTTGTGCAAGTTAGTACTTTATGCCATACAATATAACTCTATTTTTTATTCTTGTTTTCAATATTTATTTTTCTAAGAAAAGGTGAAAAAATTTTAACTTTTTAAAAAAGATGTTCACTAAGATTATCTTTCTTTTGCAAAAGCAAATTAACATTAAATTCAAGTACAATATGAAGCACTGTTTACTCCTCATAAAAATGTAATAACAAAAATCTTAGAAATGTTTTCTTTAAGGTCAACAATAAGATTATCATTATTTACAATATATTGATGATCCTAGCCAATGCTATAAGAGAAGAAAAATAATTAGTTTCAATAATTGAGCTAAAGGGGAAAAAATTTTATAATCTGCAAATGATATAAAATTTATATAAAAATATAAGAAACTATAAAAATTATTAGAATAAAGGGAGTTCAACAAAACTGGATTTTTAAAATTTAAACAAAATCATTAGCAATAAGTGGCTGAAAATTTAAAACATGAATATAGCAAGAACAATGAGGAAGTACACAAGAATAAATAAAATAAAAGATATGTAAAAATATAGGAAGATAATTACAAAATATTTTTGAAGTCCATAAAAGATACGAATAAAAAGATTAAGATCCTGAATTCAAAGTGAGAAAAGTAAGAGCCATAAAGATTTTAATTGCTCTCATTTATTTTATGAATACAATTCAATTCCTATCAAAATTTGAGCAGAGGCTTTTTCAAGGAATTTTATAAATTGATTGAAAAAAGCACAGAGATAAGCACAGTGGCAAGAGTATCCAAACCAATGTAGATAAAGAAAGCAACACTTGGTGATGAATTGGATGTGGAGGAAGAAAAAGATGCAAAATAAAATTCACTCTCTTGGGCTCAATAATTAATAAATTCATATTTCATGAAGAAAACTAATAAATGGCAGTTATTTCTAAATAAAGCCATAATGGGCAACCTGCCTATAGTAAACTACAATCTCTGTTCAGATTGGCTACCTTGTTGCTATGCAAGTGGGAGAATAGGGATGCAGAGGTCACTGAGACAAGCAGAGAGGTCTTTAGAACTCTAACTCACATGCATTGAGTGAGGGTCTGGAATTCATGGCTTAGGAGACCCTCATCAGCCCAGAAAATTGAGATTTTTAAAAGCCTCAGAAAACCATCCCAGGGAATTTTCACTGAACATCCTCCATTATCTACTATCTCTTGGACAATAATTTCTTTCTCCTTTGAAGTTGTTAGTGTATTTTCCAACGAAAGCAGATTCAAGGACAGTCACAGGATTAGACAGATAAGGTTTTGGTTTTAAGAATGAGGCAGAAGAGAAGGACACCAAAAGAGGACCTGGAAAAAATGAAAAACCCAGACCTTCTGACACACTTGGGAAAATAATGACTTTTTTTGCTTTAATTCCAAACAAAATGTAAATCAAGAGAGATCACAGGTGCACTAATGAAGAGTTATTCGAGTGGCGTGCCTTCCTGTTGCCTTTCTGAGCCTCATAGACACACAGAAGGAGGAAGGAAGAAAGTGATTTATATTGGTTTGTGGAATTTGATATTCCTCCAAAGGTAATTGCATGGCTCTTGATAATTCAGCAGTTCAGATTCATCATGACATTTCTTTTTCAAGGGCTATCTCAGTTCCTCAAATAGATCTTTATTTTACCACTCACACATTCAAGGATGAAAAATGTGCCTCACTGCATTAAATTAAATTACCTTTAAAACCTGCAGCTTTGCTTCAAGCTCCATTCTTTTGAGAATCATTGTTCCATTAAGAGTCTCTATCCTATTTTAAGGAAAAAAAAAAAAAGAAGAAGAGGAGGGAGGAGTAACATGAGTGATTCATTTAAATAAGTACCATATTACGGAGTACTACACTTTGAGCACACACTATGCTAAAAACAAAATATAAATGTTACAGTTCTCACGGCACCGTGAGTAGCTGGACCAAGGCCAAATCTTCTGATAACATTCAGAGAAAGAAAATGGGGGAAAACTCCCCTTGAGAAGGTGGCTAAAAGAAAGGATCCTAGTTAATTTGTAAACTATAGCTCATTTTATAGACGTCACCATGTAACAATGATGGCTGATCTCTAGTAGAATCTGTTCTTGTGGGGATGGCCTGAATCACCGCATTCATTTGGTAAATATTTATTGGGCATCTACTATGTGCCAGATTCTAGACACCATGCTGAACACAAGGTGCACAACGACAGAAACAGTAGGCACTAGGGGCTTTCACAACTGTGAATTAACATGTTACTTTCTGAAAGAGGGAGGAATTCTTTCTTCCCTAGGATTCTGGGAGCCTCTACCTCTGTAAATCTCCATCTAATTTTGGTACTAGAAGAAACAGACTACAACTACTATGAGATAGTAACCTTCATATGACTTTTTCATCTCAAAACATTCAGTTTACAAACGCTAATACTAGAATTTATCAACTTACCGGTGTTCTGTTCTTCCTACACCACACTCATTTCTAAAAATAAAATACTTGTTCCATTCTAAGTGATTTGATTTGTTCTGTGTCTTCAAGTTAAAGGCTTTTGACTATTAAACCATCAATCTGAATATGATTTAAAACTTTCATTCGTGAATCACACACTAATTTTTAAAGTGTTGGTTCAAGTAAGACCCTTCTTGTAATTAAGCTGTAACTCTATAAAGATGCAAGGAAATGTTTCAAGGCATGGAAAAAGCATTAAACGTGGAGCTCAGTTTTCCTCTATTTCTTATAACATCATTCCAGAAATAATCAGATGGTAGCAAGCCAAAATGCTGTCTGTTTTCTCCTTAGGGTGATCTTGACTCTCTAAGAAATAGTGGGAATCCATATGAATCTGTTTAATTGTGATTGAATGTCAGTTTGACCTGCTGAAGTAATAGATGTGTGTGGGCAAAACTGCAACCATTCATTGGCCATTTTCCTCAGTACTTGTATAGACTGTCTCCCATTTCCCTGAATTTCAAACAATTACCTCCACCTGCCACCCCTATTTACCTGTGCTTTACCCTTTTCACCCACGTGGAACATGCTTTCTGACTCTAACCACCAACAGCTCCCCTCACACTCACCATAGTTCCTCTCCTTTGCATCCAGGGTTCTCTAGAGCAAAACTGCCCCATCTTTTACCCTGAACTCTCAGGACCCATAGAGTTGGACTCAATTATTTACCACCTCCATCTTTCAAATCTACTTGCACAAACACCAAAAGCATCCTTTGAAGTTTCAGACCAGAATCACTGAAGAGCATTCAGCAGATTTTCTATTGGCAGCTTCCAAGGAGCAGCTGCAGCTGAAGAGGACAGATCCTGGCATCCAGAGCAGGTGGTCCAATCCTGGCCCTATCACTTACTAGTTGTGTGCCCTTAACTAAGCCCTCTCTAAGTTTCAGGCACTTCATCTATAAATAGAAATAAAATTAACCTCATGAGTGGCTGTGAAGAATAAATGAGACAATATAGGACCCACCTCAATCAGAATAAAACCCAAACTTGCTGGCATGGCCAAACAGATCCATGGTCTGCCCCCAGGCCAACTCTCTGGCTTCATATCTTATTATACTCTCTCTAGTCCCTCAACTACCAATTACACTGACTTTTTCTCTTTCCCTTGTACGTGCCAAGCCCATTTTGAGAACTCAGAGACCTCTCTCTTTGCCTGAAGGGTTCTTACCAGGGGTTCATTTGACCATCCTTCTCTTCATTTAGATCTCAACTCAAATATTGCCTCCCTATAAAAGATCTTTACACTTTACACATCTAAGCCAAACTAGCAGCCTCCTTACCCAGCATGACACGCCATTGCTGTTTTGTACTTTTCTCATTGTAGTTATCAATAAATGAAATACAAACACTACTTAAATTTCAGGTTTTCTGAGCCATTTCCTTCCATAATTATTAACATACTAAGAGAGTCTTTATCTTGGTCTCTCCTGAGCCTATCACAGAGCTGGAAATGTATTCGCTCAAGAAATATGATTTTAATGAACGAGTGAATTTCATCATGTAACTGCCCTAATAATATCTTATTAGGTGCTGGTATTGTTATAGTAGAAAAGTCAATAAAATCTCTAATTGGAAAAGCCACTATTCTATCAAGAAGTTTGAAATATTTGGAACATGTGGTGTATGTGTGTTTCAGGGTGGGAAGGGTTGAACAGACTATTCTTCCTTCCAAATGGAACACTAGTGGAGAAAAACAGGTGGCTTGTCGCATAAAAGGAAAAACTCAGCCCTTCCGACCTTTTATTTGTTTTAGCTACAAGATTACATCAACCATGGAAATTAGATTAGTTCCTCCCAGTTTAAAGAGAATAGGTGCCAGTTTAATTGGATTTGACATAAAAAATACATTTTAAAGGCCATCCTTCCCACACAGACATTTGGGCTAATATGTCCTCTGACTTCAGATGTTGACAGTGTGTTCAAGTTTGAGGAATCTTGAGAAACAAAAGGAACTGATAATGTTTGTTCCCAGCACTAAAGCTCTGATGCACTGCCTCCCCCCTCTGTCTTGTGATGCTGAACAAAAAGCCTATTTATTCACTCATCAGGCATTATGAGAAACCATAACATTTTGAAGCCCCACAGGACTAAACAGATAGTTACGTTAGCAGGTTTCCAGACGATCTGATCAGGTCAACGACTTGTTTGTGGGTAAAACCTTCTGTGCTCACGCCATTGATATTTGCAAGGACATCACCTGGGAGATGCCAAGAAAAATGAGTGTTATGTTGGTTAGTTAAATAATCCCTCCTGACATGCAAATGAAACAAGCAGCTCCAAGTCTTAAAAACATAAAGGAGCTAAGAAAATTCAAGGCAACAAATACATCCTGACCTTCACTCTCAAAACATTTTATTTTCTTGTTATTTAAATGATTCCTAACATGAGCAAAAATGTAAGTTACCAGCTTGCAGGCCAGCACAGTGAGCTGGGCTGTCCTCCTGTATTTTGCATATCAAAGTGAACATTTCCGAGGAGCAGGCATTCTGATTCTGGAGCCTGTAAGTCTGTAAAAATTAAGGTGATATATAGTTACTATTTAAAAAACTCAACCTCTATTTGCCAAAAAATAAAATGGTGTCAATTACCATTAAGCAGTATAATAGGTAAGTTCAAAGGACAATTTGAAAAGGATTTCCACTATAAACTGAATCAAGGTATCAATTTTGCAATTCTACCAGACAATCTGTAGCCAACTCCATTCATAAAGACATCTGTCATGAGAAAGTAAAATGAGAGTGGCTCAAGATTTTACATTTTCAAGCCCAAGATATCACCTGATGCTGTCATGATTACATATTTATTTTAAAAAATTGAGTTTCTCATTTCCCAATGGGATAAAACAACGATGGCCAAGTGCAATGAGAAAAATCCGTAAGTGGTTCTCCCAAGCTAAAACACTCATTATAGGAGCATGAAATTGTACACATGCAGCAAGGAGACATGCCAACAATGATTATTTTAAATCAGAGTTCTGCACATAATGACAATCTGCCCTACATTTATTCAAAAGTACTATAATTGACTCAATTACCTTCATTTCTGAGCACCCTCTGGTATGCCTGTCCTGAATCCTCACCGGTTCATTAGTCACCCAACTAAATTAGAAAGTTAAGCTTCGATTCTTGCCTCAATTAGGCACAAGTAGTTTAGTGGTGGCGGGTTTTTTTTTTTTTTTAATTATACAAAAACACTGAATAAATGTTTGCAAGATATAGTGTCCTAATGACCTATAACAAATATAATTTTCTTTTTCACACATTTAAATTATGAAGTCCAGTTCCACCTAAAAGCAAAATCAGTGTTCTGAGTATGTCTTCTAAACATCTGATTCCTAAAATCAAGCTACATCAAAGTACTACTTCCTTGTGAAGAAAATAATGTCTGATGTTCATTCCTTCTTATTCAATAATCCCTGGGGCACCATAAGTCAGCCATATGCAAGCAACTTCTAGAAACTTGGGTATGTTCACCTCTAAAGGATTTCTATCCAATCTATAAGGCACTTAGAATCCCCATATCTTAAATGTAGAAGAGACTTTAAAAGATCATGCACTACATTCCCATCTACCAGCAACTTCATTAACAGCTTTCCTGCCAGGGGTCTTCTCAGTACAGCCTAGACCCTTCTGGAGATGAAAGGCTGATCTAGTTCATGTGGCACATGAACAAAAGATATAACTGACACTCCTTTGGGAAACCACTGTTCTAACAATTCGCATTAGCAGTGAGACTCTACCCTCCATTCCCAGAGATCAAAGTGAGTACAGTGCAGAAGAAACATGCTGATTTATGTAGCTGACACCTCCATACATATTCACATGGGGTATAAAATTGGGGAGTTAGGGACAGAGACAAAAAAAACAGAAACCCCAAAGTTACAGAAAGAATTAATCAGATACTTCTCTCCTTTACCCAGTCTTCTAGCTCCCATTAAGTGATCAGTGACATTAAGGGACCAGTGACACAATGATCACCTGTATTTCTTAAAGACACAACGATCTCTTTGTCCTTCCTCATGACCAATGACCTTCATTCTAACATCTGTCATTTGAGGATCTTCTGTTGGTACCAGGAACATCACTAGGTATATTACATGTATTGTTTCATTTAAATCTCCTAAGGATCCCATAAGGCAACCATTGACAGGATACGAATTCAGGTGAGCATGAGTCCAAAGTCTGCATTCCTATTATGCTGCATGATTCTCATAAATAGCATAAAACTAGCATCCATGGAGAACCATAGATCTGGTCTCTTCCAAAGTGGTAGGCCAGATCCAAAATATGTATCCACACTGCATCCATAATATGGGTACGTGAAGTTGTATCTAATCTTCAAAAGTTCCCAGAAGCATTTCTCCTATTTGTTGACTGCTGCAAATCTGATGAGTACTAGGGAATAGATTAAGTAAGATGTGTATTTGACAATAGGGAGCATATACCAAAGAGAGTTTACAGGGGTATGGGTTCCTGCATCACGGAGATAACACATACATGCTGCTATTTAGAGGTATAGCCATTAGTTTACGTTGATCTACAAAGGTTCAGTGTTGCTGTGGCCTGACATAGTTTTGACTCTTGCTCCACGGAGAATAAGTGTTTATGGTGTGGGAGAAAACCTTAAGAAAGTGGTGACATATATTATAGCAGTGTAAGAAAAATAAACGTGAGTAGTCATTTATCCTGTTTTTAGTAGCCACTGCTGCACATCCTTGAGGATAATTCTCCTTTAAAAAAGAAACAGTGACAAAAAGCAGTGTCTCTGCAACAGAATAAGGAGTGTTTCATATAACTGGGGAATAAGAGTGAGTGCTATGCTTCTAAAACCTAATGGATTTCACCAATTACTGTGGTGAATTACAGATTTCACCAAATTTAAAAGTAGAAGAATTCAGAAAGTAGAAGTGATCCTCTTTTCTCCTAGTGCCTTCTCTCTCTTCATTGCAGCTTGAGTCTCATTTTGTTTCTTTACTCATAAAACATGTTTTGCTTAGCAGCTTCCTGTTCCTAATCTTAAAATACACACTGACTTTCCAATTGTGGGGCTGATATCACACCAAAGTTTTCTGAAAGCAGCACTAAAGCTAAGATCTAAAATCTGATATAGAGTGTAAGAATATGATTATGCAAAACACATCCAAAAGACATGCAAACGTACTATGGAAAAAAAAAAAAAACAGAAATGCTTAAGCTACTACTGTTGCACTTAATTGGGTTAGCTTCATTTGACCAACCTCACCCACTTTACAAATGTGGTCATGAAAAAGCAGACAGCAAATAAGCAATGAAATTCTTAGGCAATTATGCTGAAACCTATAAAGACTTAAAAATTTCCTCCAGCATGAGGCAATCTGCAAGTAGAGCCAAATGTTCTCAAGTGTTTCAAATAACAATTATAAAGCATTGTCATTAGGAGAAAAAAAGCTACACATTTCTCATTATGTACAATATGAACTCTTTAGTAGCAAAACGTACCAGGAGCTATCCATGAATATATGTGTTCCATACACACAGATACATAGTCTTTCGAGTGTCTCTTGAATGCCAAAGTAAAATATTTAAAATCTGATATACAGTATAAAAATGTGATTATGCAAAACATATTCAAAATGCAAATATATAAAATGCACATCTGTAAAATGTATTTCACTCTCTTATCTAAGACCTGGGTGATACCAACCATTTCTGATCAGTCTGGGACTTAAGGGAAGACTGAAGCAACGAAGCACAAACTGCTGAGCATATCTCGGGGGTTTTATGTTATCTTCAATGTTTTCTTTCCTTAATAGTATGCAACACACTGAAAAACTATCCCCAAATAACCACACACTGAATAAAAATCATAGACTCTACCATTCTCTAATCCTAACTTCATTTTTCTTTTGCACATAACATGACCCTACCAATGCCACTTTCTTCCTTGGAAGTCTAGAAAATATGAAAACTGCCCACCTGAATTTCAAATCCAAATGTTTCATTATCCTGCTTCTCCACAGTAACAAGCTTTCTGTAATAAAAAGGTTTAAAAAGAAACTGTATGAAAATCAAAGTATCACATTTGGCACAGATTTATCATTAAAAATAACTGTCACAATTAAAAATAACTGACATTTATGTAAATTATAGTATGTAAGATTCTGTGTGTGTGTGTGTGTGTGCGTGTGTGCGTCTTTGTGTGTGTGCGAGAGTGTGTGAGAGAGAGAGAGAGAGAGAGAAACAGCCTGGAGAGCTGTGTTCCTAAATATTTTGGGAGAGACAAAAAAAAATAATTCAATCTCTTTACCTTTGAGACCAGGAAAAGTCACTTAAAGAACTTGATCTGGTTAAAGCAAGCTGAAAAATACAAAAAAGCATACAGTTATCTCAGGGTCTTCAAGATACACTGTAAAATGTTCTAAACATCTCTCTTTCTGTCTCTCTCTCACTACACACACACACACACACACACACACACACACACACACACACACAGACACAGTTATTTATCACCCTCTTTGGTCCAACTCCTGGGAAATTGTTGCATAAAGGCAGCCATTTCAGTTCTTTAGTGATAGCAGAGGAGAGTAGGGAGACGGGATTCTAGGCATTCCAATTAAAAGATTAAGAGAGGCTTAGATGGTAATACAATGTGGCAAAAGAGTTAATATAATGTGGCAAAACTCCAAAGCTTCCAAAGAGAACTTCATCTCTGATGTGTATTTAAAACAGCCTCTGAAAGATTAACCATAACAATTTGTAATCACATTGAAATCCAAAGAAAAACAGCATACATAGAATGGCATATGAAACCTGAATACTTTATAGTTTTTTTGGAGATGTTGATGAAATGACTGTGTTTACTATAATGGTTCATTATGTTACTGTTTTTAGTGGGATAAAATAATCCCTAAACAACCGACACACACAGAAACACAATTCAGGTGAAACCAGGAACTCAAAATCTCAATTCTGCTTATGATTTATTTTTGTAATAGTTTTGGAAGAATGCAGTGCAATTTCCAGCCAAGGAAGGAAAGGAACCTCAGAATAGTATAAATGGTATAAATAATATCACCTTCATTGCTCTGCACTTTTGGAAAAGATCATATAAACCTAAGCTTTCAGGACACACTCTATCGCTGTAAACACAAGAAATGTAGACAAAAGGTGGCAACTTATTTTTTAGGAAAATTGCACTAGGTTTTTGTTTTTGTGGGTTTTTTCATTTGTTTTTTGTTTGTTTGGTTGGTTTGTTTGTTCATGAAATATTTATAGCCCTCCTCAAGTGTCGGTTCAAGGGCCCAAAACATAAGCTACTAGCTAACCCATGATTTTTAATTGTCAACCTAAAATGGTTGTCATATATACACAAACACAAAAATATCAAGAGATCAATGCATAGTCAGTCTAGACAAAGCAAAATAAGTAAAGGATGAAAACCAGAAGGAGAAAAATACGTAGAATATTAATGCTTATGTAACATGTTACACAAATGAAATGCTCATTAAGGCATTCTTTAGGAGTGAAGCCTACACCACTGTAGGAAATTTGAATTACCAGGTACCAAATGCCAGCATTTTCACAAATTTCCTGTAATGGACCAGTGTTAAGAATCCAGCCACCAGTCAGTAAAGCTAATGTAATGGAGAGGTGATCTCTTCTTACCCATTTGCTGTAATTAATTATATTTTTCTCTTTGGTTAGTTCTGGGCTTCAACTCATTTATATCGCACTGAAGACTGAAATAAATTGCTCAGACCCAAAAAGACTCTCTAGTCTTGCTAAAAAGTATCTCTTTTCAATTTATAAGCAGTACCTGTGGAATGCCTACAAGGATTGGTATGGTTTGTTGTAAACTGATTTTGTACCTTGTGTATACCATTAACAAGCATAGGGACTATTTATTTATATTAGTGGTTCTCCTTTCAGAAGAGAGCAACAAACTTATTTCCAAGCATTCTCAATCTCTCCCTTATATTGTACTCATATTTTCTTAATCTATTTTTACTATCTTCATCTGCTTGTTTTCCACCCTTAATTCAAATTCTATAATCATAAGTAGGGCTTTTTTATTCTTTATATAAAAGTTTCTTATGCATCCATAAATAAGGGCTTATATTTTTAAAATATTACTCTTGCTATCAGTATTCATCATATTATTCATATATCCATATATAGAGAGCTATATATATTTATAGATATGTGTATATATTTATATGAAATGCACACTGGATCAAATACTTCATATCTGTACATAATCATCTGTGTGCTTTGGGCCTGTTGGGGAATGTTATTTGTTTTACTTTCTGCCCCAGTGTCCAGCACAGGGCCTGGAATAGAATGGAAACTTAAAAATAGAGAAATAGATAAAAATAAATAAACTACTAAAAAAAATGAAAGCAACTGAGGCGTCTGAAGAGCTAAGTTAAATATTCAAGTTCAGGATAAATATGTAAAGATAGTCTTCAACATTGTCCTTTATTAAATTCAATAGCATAGAAAAAATTCAAAGATAATCACTAAAATACATAAAGTAAAATTTAGAAATCTAATATGTAGCAAGATTTAAAAATGAAAGAAAACAGACAACTGTATATCCATATGCAGAAGAAAGAAACTAGACCATACCTCTATATATACAAAAATTAACTGAAAATGAGTAAATGGATGAAAACCTTAATGTACGATCTAAGACAATAAAACTACTGGAAGAAAGCATAGGGGAAATGCTTCAGCACATTGGATTGGAACGAGATTTTATGAATAAAACCTTCAAAACCCAGGCAACAAAAGCAAAATTAAACTAATGGGATTATATTAAACTAAAAATATTCTGCACAGCAAACAATTAACAGAATGAAAAGACAACCTGTGGCATGGAAGAAAATATTTGCAAACTACTCATTTAACAGAGGATTAGTATTCAGAATATATAATGAACAGAAATACCTCAACAGCAAAATAAAATAAAATAAAATAAAAAATGGACAAATGATCTCAACAGACATTTCTCCAAAAAAAGACATACAAAGCCAGGTGTGGTGGCTCGCATCTGTAATCCCAGCCCTTTGGAAGGCCTAGGTGGGCAGATCACTAAGGTCAGAAGTTCAGGACCAGCCTGGCCAACATGGTGAAACCCTGTCTCTATAAAAATACAAAAATGAGTCAGACATGATGGCCAGTGCCTGTAATCCCAGATACTTGAGAAGCTAAGTCAGAAGAATCGCTTCAACCCGGGAGGCAGAGGTTGCAGTGAGCCAAGATAGGGCCATTGCATTCCAGCCTGGTGACAGCGAGACTCCATCGCAAAAAAAAAAAAAAAAAAGAAAGAAAGAAAGAAAAAGAAGACATACAAATGGCTAACAAATATATGAAAAAATGCTCAGTATCACTCATCATCAGGGAAATGGAAATTAAAACCACAGTGAGGTATCATCTCACCCCAGTCAGGATAGCTATTACCAGAAAACCAATAAACAACAAATGCTGGTGAGGATAAGGAGAAAAGGGAACTCTTACACACTGTTAGTGGGAATGTAAATTAGTACAGCCACTATGGAGAACAGTATGGAGGTCCCTCAAACAACTACAAATAGAACTACCATATGATCCCGCAATTCCACTACTGGGATTCATCCAAAGGAAAGGAAATCATTATATCGAAGAGACATCTGCACTCCCATGTTTATTGCAGCACTATTCACAATAGCCAAGATATGGCATCAACCTAGGTGTCCAACAACAGATGAATGGATAAAGAAAATGTGGTATATATACACCATGGAATACAATTCAGCCATAAAAAAGAATGAAATCCTGTCATTCACAGCAACATGGATTGAACTGGAAGACATTATGTTAAGTGAGATAAGCCAGGAATAGAAAGTTAAACACCACATGTTCTCACTCATATGTGGAAGCTAAAAAAAGTTGATCTCATACAAGTAAAAAGTAGAACAGAGGATACTAGAGGCTGGGAAGGGTAGGGGGAAGAAATGGATAGGGACACATTTGTTAAAGGATACAAAATTATAGCTAGATAGCAAGAATAAGTTCTAGTGCTCCATACTGTAGGATAACTATAGTTAACAATAATATATCATGTACTAGTTTCAAATAGTTAGAAGAAGGATATTGAGCAGTTCCAAAACAAAGAAATGATCAATGTGTGAGATGATGGACATGCTAATTACTCTGATCTGATCACCATACATTCTGTGTATCAAAACATTGCTATGTATACCATGAATATGTATGATTATTATTTATCAACTAAATAAATATAAATTTTAAAATTCAAAAATATCTAAAATGAAATAAAACAGACAAGAGCAAAAAAAATTCAATCCAAAACAAAAAGTGTAGAAAAAGTACTAATAGAAAACAAAAATAGTCGTGCCTTAGTACATGGCTGCTAAGTGGATGAATGGTGACAAGAATTACTAAATTATTAGCAAAATTTTGAGCCTTGTCAATTTTAAATGCCCTTTTACTATGCCAGAAATCAATACATCTACTAGGAACTTCAAGATTTCATCAAATCTGTCTTTTGAATCAAAAGTCATTCTGGATAGATTCAAACGTAAAATCTTTTAATCCACAGGACAGACCTGAAACCTCTACAGAGATTTCCCCACCACTCTACTTCTAACCTTTCTATCTAGCTAATTGACTAGTTACAGATGAAAATATTTGTCTAGCACAACATGAGAAGCATAGCAGATGTTCAATTCCTGTGGACTGGCTGATTTGGGTTATCAGCAACACCAAAAGTCAGATTAAGTCAAATTATAAATTAGTTTCTATTCTGTATTGGCTGCAAGGCTGTTTCAAGCACCTAATACTTAAACAAAAAACAATTTAAATAAATTAAGCACCATCAAATTCTCTGACATGTGCCACATCTTGACACAAAGCGTACTTGTTTTTGATCTGGGCTCTCAGACTCAGGCGATGTGGAAAGGAATATTCCCAGGGTCCAACCTAGCTCACACGCCAAACTACCTGCCTAAAGTGAAATGAAGTGTCTCTAAGGTCTTATCAAGGGTTTTGCACTTTGGGAAAGAAAGTGCACACCTTTCCTGCACACGTTTCCCGAGGGCGAGCAGCCTATTCAAGAATCTGACCAGTGAGGTCTATGTTCCCCAGTCAACCCTCCCAGCCAGAACCTTTTCTAAGGGTTGTACTGATGGCACCAAAAATCATGAATGAGGAACTGGTGTGCAATTCACAGCATATGCTGGCAACAGCTGTCTTTTATTACACATTATCTAATATGAGAAATCTAGGTTTAGCAATTTGGCAGGCTTGCAAACTACACATTCAATTATGACTGCTGAATAGACAAAGCTTCTTAACTCCTTGCTAACCATAATACATTGATACCTAGCGTTGCGCTTACAATCACTCTTCTGTTTTTAGTCAGATGACTTAAAAGTTCAGGCATTAATATTCAAAATGTAATTTTTTCTACTCTGCAGTGATTCCACACATTCCTCTTCAGTGAGAAACCAAGACCAAATACTTCAGCTGTCAATTTTTGAAAGATAGGAGTAGTCAGCAGCTCAGCCAGGTAGCCAGCCCTCGGTAGAGAAGCTCAAAGTTCAACACTGTAGCCACTTCTGGGGCTAAGTCACAGCGGGTTACTTCCACCTCGCCCCCACTCTATATTCTCATTTCCTGAAAGTGGTGGGGAGGGTGCTGGGGAGAGGATACTGATTCAGGAGTGAAGTTTTTTGTCATTGTTGCTTGTTTCAAAGGTCCCAAAATTATATGTTCTTCTCCCTTTCCAGTCGCCTTCCTCACTCCCCAATTCTTCCGTGCAACCCCCACCCCCTTTTAAGTCAGGAGCATTAGGATATTAAGGCTCCACAGACTCTTCAAAGATGCAACAAAATAATGGAGCTGAACTTAATTTCCTAACATTAAGTGCCCGGAGAAACCTAAATACAATACTGCCGTTTCCAAGGAAGGTCTGATTGTGGGCTCACAGACCTCTTCAAGAAACGTTGTTCGATATTGACCAAGCATGCCACAATATGGATTGAAGAATAAAGTCTTTTGTTGTGAAATTAGCAAAGTTTTCTACCTAAAATTGTCAGGAGGTGATTAAAATCCTTTGGTGCAGTTTAGGACAGTTGGAGTTACAGCACCTGATGGGTGTGCTGCCAGACACACCATGAAAGCCGCTGCAGGGCGGAACCCAGCCCAGCAGTGTACACATCCCAGAACAGAGCACACACTCCCTAACTAAACTTGTAGATGAAATCAGCCTTCCAGAAGTTGCCTATTTAGTAATAATGAGATAACTGAAAGAAATTTAGGAAAAGAGAGTCAATCTGTGGTACCACTAAAGTTTGTGGATTTGTTTGTTCAGTCCCTGGTTCTCAATATAGCATTCTGTAAAAACTGCTTTCCAAAAGCAACATACTACTGTTATGAGAGTGGGTTGTAAGACACAATCACTACTCCTTTGACATAATTGATAGAGACTGTCCTTAATTCCTCCTGTCTCCGTCCTACAGAGATTTCCATTGCAGAGATTTTTTTTTTTTTTTTGCCCTAAAACTATGTTCCCAAGTAGAAGCCATACTGGGGTGTCTGACACTTCCTACAAGTACAGGTATTGAGATAATATGCACACAGAGAAATCTATTTTTAAATAATTCTGAGTGTAAACACCCAATTGATTCTGAAGACTAATTTGAAACTAAAGCTAACCAGATATAGCTTTGCAGAAACCAAAGCCAACAATAACAAGAAGTATGAGCTGTTGACGTCAGCCCTGAAAGTGTTGAAAATAACAGTAGGCAGAGAAACACGAGAAACACCTGCTCATGTGATTGCCTCACAAGGATCTTGTTGCCTGCAATTTAGTCTGTGCCAAATGGGTGATTATTCTCTAAAAACCAGTTAAAGGAAATGAACATCCATTTGGAAGATTGTGAAATGTTGGGATAAACTTGCATCAAGTCTCATTGATGATAATTGTACAGAATCAGAACTATCATGTACAAGAAGTTTTGTTTTGCTATTTTTTAAAGCAATTCTCACAACAGTAAGAAAAAGCCATTTGAATAGGAGGAGTCTACCACGTGAAAGAATTTGAGAGAAGGGGAATAAGAAGACCTAGAAAAGATGATAGCATCTGCATAAATTAATTTGTATGGGGATGTGTGTGTGCCTGTGTGCATACACACATATGCACATACACACATGTGTATTTCTTATGCCAAAATCCCTCTCTATCTTCCTTTGATAATCAGCCTCTCCTACTGATTGCCTTCTTTCAGTTCATGCTATCTTCATCCTGGCTTAAAAACAGATGTGACTCCTCCATCTTAGTCCCTTTCATATTAAAGTCTTTCAGTCTCCTTTCTGTTCCCCCGTTTCCTCCTTCTCCAACTACTGCAAAAGTTCCTCCCTCACTACTAGTCTCTACTCACTAATCCACCACATTTCTAGAGCAAGGTTCCTGAAATCCTCTACTTCTCAAACACAGTCAGAGGCCCTCTGTGCCAGCTTTTTCAGGGGAAGTTGTTCAACTGTTCTGTAAAGCAGCCCAGCTCTGAGGTCTCCTCTCACCTCCAATACACTAACCAGGTTCTCCTGACACACTTAATATTGTGCTGTTACACAAAAAAAAGTCCTCCATGCACTAGGATCTGTGCCTCAGCTTCAATTTCTCCTTTGCTCTGGAATGCCCTTCAATATCTGGAATATCTATCTCCAAGGCTGTATTTAAAGATGTTTCACTTGGATGAGAGTATGCATGTCGTTTTACTTTGCGTGACATCCATTCTTTCTGCTTACTGAATTGCAGACAGTATATGGGCAGGAAACATTCCCTTCTTGCCTTTTTACCCCTCCTACACTTAGCATGATGTCTGTCTCCTTGTAGGTGCTCAGAAACCATCTGTTGCATTGAAATGCATGGGCTAGAAAGTAGATCAAATGAGTGAGGTTGCTGGAATGGAGGACATAGAGCATGGAAAGTTCCCACCCCGATTCAAAACGTACCCACTCTCTCTAGAAAAAACAAATAAATAAATAAAATCATAGCCTAATCAGGTGAACCACAGTTAGTGTGATAGCTTCATGGCAAATGTAAAGAAAATCTGACTGCTTTATATCTGAAAAATGAATAAAGGTGTCAGCATTTCTCATGTTGCTTTATTTTCAGACAGGTTGTAGTCTGATAAAACATTCATCATCACATTAAAGTTTGTAAAATAAAAACAAACTTTTAGATTGAGAACAATCAATAGTCCAAATCATGGAAAATTATGCCCTTATCTTCATTGTGAAAAATACCAAGGAATCAGCTATATATATCATTGAAAAAAGACCATGTCTCTCCCACTATGCCATACCTCTCTAATCCTGAATTTAGAAGGCTTAAGAGAAGCACATGATGTACATGCAAGACTTAAGCACAAAAATTCTTGCTCTATGGCAATTCTAAATATTTTCTGTACAAATGCTATATTGAAATTCAAATATGTACCTGGGGATTTACGGCAAGTTGTATAGGAAAATCCTGAAGAGGTATTATGGTTAAAATTTTTTTTTCACATGTTAGAAATTGAAGAACAAAAAATCAAAATAAATTCAGTTAGACATAGATTTTTCCAAATGAGTTTTCATCCCTAGAGACAAACTTTGCAATAAAAATACTAAAATAGCATAATCTAGCATTTAATAAGCACACACTGAATGTCAGTCACTGTGTGAAGCGCTGCACAGTTCCTTATTTAAGCAACATAAGAACCCAATAAGGGTAGTTCTATTATTATCTCCATTTTAGAAAAAAGGAAACTGAAGCTCAGAGAGGCAAGAGGCTTGTTCAAGATCCCATAGGCACTAAGTGGTAAGCTGATATTCAATCTGGCAATCGACCAACCAAAAAAAAAAAAATCTTACTTTCCAATAGCATGAGGCACGTCCCAGAGCCCTAGAGCTGAAGATAATTAACTTAGTCAACAAAATTTGTCCTCAAAAACTTATCTCTTATTTGCTTATGAACTGAAATGACCAGCAAGGATTTGGGGTGAGGATGGAAGGGAAAGAATCAGTGGAGACACAATGGGGAAAAGATCATTAATTCTCATACTGGTGGCATCTATATAAACCATCTTCAAGTTTGTTATGCTTAATGATTTTTATTTTATCTGAGCACTTCTTCAAATGAGAAAAACAATCTTAATTTTTGCCTTGAAAAAAAGTTTGATTGTGGTCTCAAGTCTTCAGACTGTTTCACCTAGCTCTGTGAGCATCTCATCTCCTCCACCCACATAATCAGCCACTAATTCCAAAGCCTCTAAAATATCACTATTAGTATGAAGTCAGACAAACATATCATTCTACTCTCAAGAGAACATGAACACTCTAAAGGGTACAAAACAGCAACCATACCTGCTTTCTTCCCCGAGGCAGAGTAGCCACTGTGTCTGCCAGCATTTGAATTCTTCTGTTATCCTCCATTGTAAGGCTGCCTGTGAGTGTGGGGTAAGAACTATAGGCTGGCCCAGCGCAGAAGTCCGCCAAATTGCCATTGCTGCTGTGTTGCAGGAGCCTTTGTAAAGACATTGTGAATAAAGATCACTCCAGCTAGCACATGGTTGAGTGGCCTTGCAGGTGGGGGAAGCTAAAAGTACAACTCTGACAAGTAATCAAAAGTAGCAAAGCAGAAAGAGCCCATGTGACCTCTGTGGTTTGAGGAACTTGTTACACAAACCATCTCTTGCAATTCACTCCCATTTCTCAAAGCTTTTTTTTCTTTAAGCTCCTGGGAGAACCTGGCTAACTTTTACAGTTGAAAAAAAAAATTAACTTTTTTTTTTCCCCTCAAACAGCCAGAACTCTTATGCTTTTATGTTCTGTGGCAAGCATATCCACACCACCAACTGCCATTTTTTTCTTAAAAAAAGAAAGAAAAACATCCCCAAATACTACCATTTGTTTCATTCATTCTCTTATTTAACATTAGCAATGCAATGCAAAGGTCAGCACACAAGGACATTCAGTTCTTGTGAAAATAAGCAAGAATTACAGGTGCTGGTCATAATGTTCTCTCTCGAAGTCCTTGTAATGTGCTTTCCCTGAAGTATACCCTAGATCATTAATGTTCATCAAAAAGACATTATATCTGCCACTGGGCTTGTAAGCATTCAACATTCTTCTGGTTGCCCTTTTACTACTTTGTCCTTACTAAAATTGCCCATGATCTTTACAATGGGAAGGGAGAGCCAGCACAATTAGGGCACAATGTTGCCATTTCTTCAACAAGACTTGGTGGCAGCATCAGCAAGTTGTCCCAGGGGAGGAAAGGAGTGGGCAGAAAGGTAACAGGCAAACCAAGGTGGCAAAAGAATGTTGCCTGTTGGTCCCTGCATGTGCATATGGGTCAAGGGCACCATCACTAAGCACTCAAGATCACAGATGCTTTTTTTTTCCTTTGGCAGAGGTTGGGGGTAGGTAGTTTTGAGAGAACTGGTTTCAGTGGAGGGGTAGGAGAGGCAAGTAAAAGGAAGAATCGAAACAAAAGTTAAAAAGAGAAGTTTTATATGGCACAAAAAGTCAAATGTGCTTTATCGAATCTCTGAAGGTCAATACTGGAATTTAAAAGAGTTAGAAAACCTTTGAACTAAAATGGAATGTGTGTGTACTGGAAGTGAAGGTGAATTCAACTCAAGCAGAAATTGCCAAATATAAATAGTAAAATCTGAATTAATAGTGCTTCAAAAGTTGAAGCCAAGTATAGATTTTAAAAACTCTATCATGATTCATTATACTGAAATTGAATTTTGACATGGGCAAAGTGTTATTACCAAAAACATATCTAAATCGGGAATAAAAACACATATGTTTTCAGAAGCCAGGTGGGTAACATAAATGTGTAAGGCAAAAGGGAGTGGTACATACCTTGGCAACCAAAGAATATATCAATTACAAAGACATTCTTGTAAAATCTATACTTATAGATATGTACAGCTATGTACACATGTATATGTGGGGTATGTGTGTGTGTGTGTGTGTGTGTATTAGGAAGAGAGAAACAGAAATTTATTTTAAAAGCCTTTCTAGGCTATGAGGCATGTAACTTAAATCAACATTATTAATGGAGGACAGCTATCCACAATTTCCTAGGAATTTGATAAAGTTATGCAAACATTTTTCATATTCTTAATATTTTTAAATGCCAAATGAAATTATACATTTGCTTAATATAAGGTCACCCACTTAAGCCAACTGACACCCGCATTTTTATAAATACTACTAAACTTGTACCAATTCATTGTTATACTAATCTTAAGCTGATGTAACTCATAGATCATCATTCAATTAAGAAACTGGAAAATAATTTACTTATTAATTAATGAAATGTGTTTAACAATTAAAATTTTTCAAATCATAGGATCCCTGGATACAAAACAAGGGTCAAAAAACAGCTCTGACATCCAGCCACCCCATATCAATATGGTCACACCTGTTAATTACAAATGTATGACCTTGTCTATTTTTATTGGTCAGTTCCCTGTTCTGTCAGCAACTGTGTCATGCCAGTCACTAAATATTTTTAATAATATCCTGATCAACAGTGTGCCTTGTGAGAAAGGGTGGATAAACAGTAATCTTTTAAGAGGAATGTGACTTCCAAACATCAAATCCTTGACTTACAAAGGTGTTCTACTGTTTACAACATCTCTTTTCTTTTAGGCTTTACCTTAGGAAAATTATTATTCCCCTTCAGTCTCCTTTTTATTTTAGAGAGGTGATTCTGAAAATGAATCAGATTAAGCTATTTAGGTACTCAAAAGTTTTCAGGAGTATCTCACTGTTCACAAAATAAAATAAAATAAAAATCATTTTATATTCTTATCTGATTCATTCTCTGAAATGTCATATCTTTTTTGCAGATCCTTCTTTTGACATTCAATATATTTTAGTTAGGGCAATAGTTAATTGTATACAAGTCTGTTTCTCTGCTAACGTCCAATTTCCTTGAAAGCAAGGGACATATTTTATCTTTAAATGTATACTTTATATCCTACATATAAAAATTGTTCAATAAATGTGTGTTAATAAAAAGAAAAAGGTAGAAGCAGTAGATATTAAACAAAATGAATTAAACAATAGTGTTCTGTGGTATTAATAAGGAAAAAAATAAATCGGTAGGAAATATATGTACTACAAGCTCATACTCCAAAGTGCTACAATTTCATTAAGGGGTGATCTGAAAGATGAGGAGAGAGTCTCTTAAAAATATGTCTACCGTGTTTTCTTTTCTTTTTTTTTTTTTTTTTTTGAGACAGAGTCTTGTTCTGTCGCCAGGCACCAGGCTGGAGTGTAGTGGCTCACTGTAACCTCCACCTCCCAGGTTCAAGCAATGCTCCTGCCTCAGCCTCCGAAGTAGCAGGGACTACAGGTGCATGCCACCACGCCCAGCTAATTTTTGTATTTTTTTAGTAGAGACGGGGTTTCACTATGTTGGCCAGGATGGTCTCGATCTCTTGACCTCGTGATCCGCCTGCCTCAGCCTCCCAAAGTGCTAGGATTGTCTCCCATGTTTTCTAAAAGCTAATGTTTGTTATGTGGGGCATGCTTCTCATTTGGGACATTTTGTTCATAAATATGCAAATACCTTTGGAAGGAATTAATCTTTAGTACAAATGAGATGAGCACGGAGGGCCTATAACATGGAGATTTGGTACAGTCAGGTGAGAGGAATATGCTTAAAGTATGGAACACTGAAAGAAAGGTGGAAAGGTTTGCAAAACAAACTGAGCTAACCTTATAATCATTCATGAAAATCTCAGGCAGCCATAAGAGGGTTGACAGCAGGGTTCCAGTGTCACACTACTTAGATTCAAATCCTAGCTCTGCTGCTTTAAAGGCTATGAACTGAGTTGTTCCCCTAAAATTCACACATTAAAGCACTAAGATTCCATGTGACTATATTAGAGATAGGGCCTATAAGGAGGTTAATTAATTATTTAAGGTCAAATGAAGTCTTGAGGATAAGGCTCAGACCTGATAGGATTAGTACCCTCATAACAAAATGTGGCAGAGGGCTCTCTCTCCACCATGTGAGGACACAGCAAGAAGGCAACCTTCTGCAAGCCAGGAAGAGAGCCCTCACCAGGAATTCAATCTGCCAGTACCTAAATCTTGGATTTCAGCATCTAGAACGGTGAGAAAATAAATTTCTATTGTTTAAAGCCACCCAGTGTATGGTATTTGTTATGCTATCGTATTGGTTAGGTGGCTTGAACTGACGAATATACTCTCTAAACCTCAGTGTTCATTTATCTAAAACAAATATTTGCAGGAAAAAAAGAGACAGAATTGTCCATGCATGGCACATGGTATAAAGTAAGCTATATCTATTGCATTTTGTTTTAAGTAACAAGAATTCAAAAGGAAAAGCGAAAAAGGAAATGACATTAATTCTATATAAATAGCCCTATTCATTACCAAATGACTCCACATGCAGCAAGGATGCTCTTGTCCGCCCTGGAGAAGTCTGAAGGCTACATGTGAATTCCTTACCAGCAAATAGCAAGATGTGTTTGAAAACCATCATCAGAGCCAATGTCTGAAATTTCTACATCATTGTTAGAAATAGAAGAAGAGTAACTGGTTGCTTAAAAAATGAGATTTCTTCTATGCCTTTCTGATCTTAAGATAGTTGTTGAGTTTTTTGTTTGTTTTATTTTTGCTGTTTGCCTTTATTTGCACAAGAAGATTTTATTTGGCTTCCTGGAACATCGTAGGATTTTGTTTTGGTTTGGTTTGCTTTGCTAATTTGTTTTATTTTGGCCTTTTGCCTTTATTTGGATGGGAAGTTTTTATTTGGCTCTCTGGACTGATGTAGGAGATGGTTAAAGTCACATAGACAATATTTGAATATTGTGCCTTTGAATTTATATAAGGTAAATTTAATTTAGTAAGGTTACTCTCACAGATAAGGATCCACTAACTGTGAAAACTGTTCTGTCCTATGCACCACCTTATTTGAGTGATGGAACTGGGTAGACAGATGTCCTCAGCTTCCCCAAACATTCAGTGTGGGTCACTGGGATTATGAACACTACTCCCCAGAGAGTAACAGCCTTCTTCAGAAAATGATAAACTAAAAATCTGTAACTAGGACTGGCCCTGAAAAATAGGCAGCTCAGGAAAGAGAAATAACAGAAACAAAGTTCATAATGACCCTATATTAGAAATCCTAACGTGATATAAACCAAATATTAGCTTAGAGTTGTGACATGCATATTTAAAACAGCACAAAGAAAAACTTTAAACCTAATATAAATCATAGCAGTATATCAAATCTATTCCATTTTTAGTACAAGTGCAAGGAAACAATTTTCTGACTGATTCAAGTTTAATTCAATCAAATCATGAAGCTATGGGTAGATTGCAATATCATTCAAGGGATTAAGCCAATAAATTCAATTAGGGCTTTAAATAGATTATCTAGATCAGTCTTTCATGAAATAACTCAGTAAGATAATTTCAACATTCTTTTAAATGTAAAAGTAGACACATTTATTTGATGCACTTATCACGTAGAAACATCATTACCTGCATTTTTAAAATTCCATTTGCTTCTTTATCTATTTAGATATAGGGAGAGTACTTTGAGCATGTTGGGCATATGGCAGAAACGGCTCTCTAAGAGGGTCCAGGTTGAAGGTACACAGTAGTATTGGGGCCACTTGGAGGCAGTCGGTATGTGCACAGGTTTTAAAAGGCAGCTTCTCCCATGGACTTGTCCATGTATCTATACAAAATGCTCTGTGAATGCATCAGGATTGTTTGAGTCTTAAGAGGTAGTCTATGCAATGATTTTAAAACTGTACTCATGAAAATGTAAGGAGATCCTTTGAATGACCTGGGAAAGAAGGGAAAAAGAGGAAAAAAAAGAAGACTTGAGAGGGGGATTCTGAGATTTTCAGCCCTGACATCAACCACAGCAGTTGTAATTGCTTTGCTTTATATTGTGTTCCTATTCATGCCACATGATTTAATCAGGTTAAACAATAAAACTGAATGAAAACACAGGCCTATAGAAGACAGAAAAGACTCTTCACATAGAGTGTGAAGAACAGTAGACTATTGAATCCCTCTGTTAAAAAGAAGTGTCAGCCCTCGAATGAGTTCCCCAATTTCTACAGACTATCTCCGTTTTAGAGAGATAAGACCCTAACAGTACAAAATCTCTTTAAAACAAAACACAAAGTAACCAGGATAACCAATAGTTAAAGTACCCCTAATTCTGGATTTGTCTACATTTCATTCAAAACAATATTTTGTTCATTAACCTATTAAGACAAAGGGAGAGAGAGTTTAATCAATTAGAATGAAAAACTTTTGTGTGCTAACGGAATTGTCCTATAATATGGAGATGCCTTTCCAAGAAAGATTAAGGCTTTAAGAGAAATATATGATTGGTTGACAACTTATTACCAGGAGTCTTTTCCTTCTTTGAGGACTATTATCTTTAAAAAAGAAGTAGCTATTTTTCTTTTTAAAGTTACTTAATTAATAAAATAAGAATATGTCCAATTAAGAATAAACGTCAAGATCAAGTTATATAGTGAGAGATAGATAATTTTCATTCAGTTTTATTTTTAACCTGATGTATATGTATTTTTATCTTGCTGCCATAACAACCATGAAATGAATTATATTAGTCACACCCAATAGAAATTGGTGTCAGTGAAGAGGGCTGTTTCTATTTGAATATAGGAATAATTTGTTGAAATGAGTTCATTCAAATCTCTTTGAGTCAAAGAGCATGACCTTAGGAAAGAAAATAAAATATTTATAAATAGGAGTGTGTGTGTATGTGTATCATGAGATGGACACCTTGAGTATATCCAAAATTGTAGAAGATATTGAAAAAGTAGTCAAAGATCTATCCTTTAAAAAAAATATAGGCCAGGCGAGGTGGCTCACGCCTGTAATCCCAGCACTTTGGGAGGCTGAGGCGGGTGGATCACGAGGTCAGGAGTTCAAGACCATCCTGGCTAACACGATGAAACCCCCGTCTCTACTAAAAATACCAAAAATTAGCCAGGCATGGTGGCACACGCCTGTAGTCCCAGCTACTCAGGAGGCTGAGGCAGGAGAATCGCTGGAACCCGGGAGGTGGAGGTTGCAGTGAGCTGAGATCACACCACTGTACCCCAGCCTGGCGACAGAGCAAGACTCCATCTCAAAAAAAAAAAGTGCTGCGGTAGAGATGGGGAAGTAGGAAAGGTATCTTTATGCACTTGGAGCTAAGACACAAGGACTCCCAGTGGGCTGTCCAGATTCTTCCATTCGCTGACAGGCCTCTCCAGTTAGAGGCCTTCACACTGGAAGTGGGCCTGTCCCGGCAGAACAATGGCACTGGACCCTGTCTCGTGCTCTGCTTCTCCGCTAAAGAGCTACTGCTCGCCCCAGTGTTGGGGTGCTGGTCCTCTGTCTGGGTCTGTTCCCTCAGAATCATAAGCACCTTCATAACAGTAACAATTGCTGTTCTTGCTGCTGCTGCCTTACTATG